CCCAATGACTGACCGCTTGAGGCGGAAATTCCATTGGTCAGTATGGGAGGCAGAATTTCTGAAGTGATCCTAAAAGACATCTTGCCCTAATATCCAGCCACCTTGAATCTGATGAGATCTCTCTCGTGATTGAGTTATGTGGCACAACTGACCTTAAGATAGGGCGATTATTCAGGTGGATCTCATCTACTCACATGGGTCCTGAAAAGTGGCGTGCTTTCTCCGGCGGGCAGCAAAATCAGAAAGATTCAAAGTGTGAGAAGGACTTCATGTGCCATCATGACTTTGACAATGGAGGAGGCCATAAGAAGGAAGGTTAAGTGGCCTTAAGGATCAGAGAGAGAGGCCTCAGTGACTGTCAGCCGGGAACTCATAGCTCAAGTAACTTCAACAGCTTCAGTGAGCTTCTTAGTGGGTTCTTCCCAGAACCTCCCCACACGAGCCAGCTGGCCGACACTTGGACCCCAGACTTGTGAGACTCTGGACTTCTGACCTACAGAACTGTAAGATCATAAATGGGTATTATTTTAAGCAACTAAATTTGTGGTAACTTTTTACATTGTAATAGATAATGGGTATGGTAGAGACAAATGCAAGCAGAATATTTAAGGTCGGGAGACCTCAGAATGCTTCTGCTGCACTGGTTTCCTAGACAAAGAGGGTCTCTAGACATAGGAAACAGAGAAACTACAAGCGGTTTCCAACTTTAAAACCCTACATTAAGTTCTACATTTATTATTAAATACTGCTAAATGGATTTACTTGATCTTGATAACCATCAAGCTTCTCTGTTTTCAGCCCCACTGGAACAGACATTATCCCCATTATGCCCAATATTAAGAACAGAACGTAGAACAAATATATGCTAAAAGATTTGGGCTAGAATTATATTAAGTCTGTATTACAACCACAGTTGTTCAACGGTTGCCAATTATGTTTTGAATTCATTAGATAATAATAAACTTGTTTGTATGTAGTAATGCAATTAGATTGGCCAAATCATTCAAAACATGGGCTTGTTGGGCAGGGGACAGTAACAAAAAAGATATTAGTTATTAATTTGTTTAAAAAAAAAAAAAAAACCTGTTACTGGGTGCCTGCTTGGCTCAGTTGTTAAGCAGCTGCCATCCACTCAGGTCATGATCTCAGGGTCCTGGGATCAAGTCCTGCCTTGGGCTTCCTGCTCAGAGGGGAGTCTGCTTCTCCTTCAGCCCCTCACTCCCATTCATGCTCGTGGTTTCTTGCTCTCGCAAAAATAAATTTTAAAAAACTAAAAAAAGACCATTATTTTTGTCCACACCTCACTCTAAAGACACAGATGAGGGAACTAGTTAGGCTAAACAATTATATAACTGATAGCTAAATCATGGCAACAGTTCTAAATGTTTATGATAGAAAGCTTTTTAATCAAACAAGAGTCTATCCAAGTTTAAAACTGGTAAGTGTTGCTGCTCAATTAGCTGTTTGTGAAAAAGTGGAAATAGACTAAAAAAGAAAAAAAGCAGGCTTTAAAGAAATAAAAAAAATTTTAAAAGCGGGTATTAGATTCACAATTAGTGGAACAGGAACTCCTTTCCATTTGGTTTCATGAAACAAATTTACAGAGCGCCAACTATATGAAAGGTATTAATAGATACTCTTTGGACTACAAGAATGCAGAAACCTGTCTCGACCCCACAGGAGTGACCACCTAGGAGGGGAGCAGAGGCAAGTACCTGCAAAAATACAGTATGAGGGGGAAGGGGGGCAGGGGAAGGGGGGAAAGGGAGTGGCTACTGGGGGGAACAAAGAACTAGGGAAGCTAAACGGGCACAGCGCTTCCTTGTGCCTGGAAGGGCTGGAAGGATTTCACGGAGGTGTCCCCTGGCATGGAGACAATGGTCCCCGAGGGGCGTTTCCTCGGAGGTTTATTACATTTTACAGAGGAGATGTCTCATTAGAAACTTGTCCCTTGAATGCTTGTCCTGCCAGGGACCTGAAATGTGAACAGTAAGGAAAACCAGCTGTGGAACTGCTACGCCTCAGGGAGAGATACACAGAAACTATTTAAAGGAAAGTTGAGCCGGCTTTGTGCCCCTGCAGCACACGCCCCTGAGATGTAATTCCCCCGTCCGTCCCGCCGCTTGTCCTTTAATGCGGTGATGTTTAACTTCACTGTTGGAGGAATGTGGAGGATCAAGCCTCTTAAAACATGAAAAGATGGAGCGCCGATGTTTCAGATCCCTGCTTCATGTCTGAGAGGAATAAGGAGCATCTCTAATCCCATTTGTAGTGGCTGGTTTCTTTTCTCCAGTCCAGGGACTTAATCCCTAGACGCCTTGGCGCTCTGGCACTTAGCCTCTATTTGAAGTGTTCTTTTCATATTTGTGGGATGTTTGCTCAAACCAAACTACAGAATTTAGCAACAGGCATGCCCCCCCCCCAAAAAAAAAGGGAAAAGAAAAGAAAAATACAAAGAACATCTGAAAAAGAAGATAGATTTTTTTTTTTTAATCTATTTATTCATCTGGAACTACGTCAGTGGTGTTCGGTAATCTTGATTATATTGCCCTCTAGTGGTATCGAGAGCGTATAAGGTACAATAAACATTTCCTTTCAGGTAGTCTTCAGGTTTATTGAGCATCTATTGTCTAGCACCCAGATAGCCTCTGAGAATAGTGAGACGTTAAGAGCTGGTTCTTCCCCTTGTTGATTTCTTGGTCCAGCAGTGGAGGCATTAGCCATAGCATAGTGTGAGAAGGAACTACAGTGGAAGTATGTACAAAGATCAATGAGCATGCTGAGGAGAAAATAATTAATTCTCCCTAAGCATATCTGGAAGGGCTTTCCAAACACATCACAGTTGAGCAGCGCCTTGAAAAATGCACAGGAGTTTTCCAGCTGTGTGTGTGTGTGTGTGTGTGTGTGCGCGCGCGCGCGCGCGCGCAGGCACATGTGTGTATTGCTTCACGGCTGAAGGAGCAGCCCGGGTAAAGGAAGCTAGTCCTTTATTAACTGTTAAAATACATACTGTGTTCTCGTGATGGCTCTGTGCCTTCCATGTGAGATTCAAATGTGCTTCAGCCTGACGTTATAATCCTACCTCCCCAGGTGTACCCACAAAACACTTTGCAAACTTCCTGCAGGTTTTATATTGGAAAGGTTGAGACAAACTGATTAAATAGACCTTCATATCATAGTCAAGATTCTGTTTTACCATGATTTTATCTATTATGATTATAATAGTATATATAACACATATATAATACAATTTATATAATAATATGTAAATGATTTTGTTCTTAATAATAATCCAGACTACTTTATAACGCATGCTATGGGTGGTTCTCACTTTCCCCTTCTTGGACGTATAAAACTGACTTTGTTTCACCATCATTTCTAAAAGTCCTATGTTCCATAATTTGTGATATAAAAACAGCTTGAAAAATACACTTATTTAACTATCAGACTCCAGTGGTTTATGGATTTGCTGACTTCCTCTGTGGGTCAATATCTTTCCCTTTGGTTATGTAAAAAAAAAAAAAAATTGCAGCACCTTCCTGGCTTCTGGGCATCTGGTCAGCGCTAGGGCAAGTTCCTGGGCTATCCCCAACTCAGCCACCACTGGGCTGCATGTCATAGGCAATTTCTCCTGGAGCACCCCCTATTCCCTCCCACCCCAGATCTGTGGAATGGGGGATGGGCAGAACAGGTATGAGCAAGGTGATTATCTATGACCCAAGATTCTTTGCTTTGCCAAAGTAGCATCCAGTAGGGGAGCAAACATGGGTTCCGAGGCAGACAGATACGGATCAAATCCTGGCTCTTCTGCTTACTAGCTGTGCGATGTTGGCAAGGGCCTTTCTGAGCTCCACGATCTTCTTCTCTAAAATGGAGATGTTAATATCTACCTCCAGGATTGCTGGAGGGATTAATAAGAGTATGTGAAAAGAGTCTGGCACAGAAAATGATCAGTAAAGATTCGCTGGTTTCCTAACTCCCTTTATTCATTGTAACAAGCAACAGCTGTTCTAAACTTCTGCGTAAATATGAGCACAATAGAACAGTTTTTTTGGTGTACTCCATTTTGTCAAAACTAACACACACCTAAAAAGAGCCTTGCCATTTGAAACTCAGTCTCCTTTCCCTCACTTCATTGGCTCTTCAGCCAACTCTCGGCATTGTGACATCTATTGCCCATCGTTTACTGAGAGTCTACTCTGTGCCAAATAAAATGCTGGGATCAAAGCATCAAACACTGCCCTCCAGAAGCCCTCCAGTCAGGTGCAAGGAGGCAGATGAGAAAACCAGCTACAATTCAGCTTAGTAAGTGCTGTGATGCCGAAGGAGCACGGAGGAAGGGCACCTAATTTACGTTGGTCTTTGAAGTGAAGTGGGCACGGAAAATGAATCAGGAAGGATCAGTGTTTCTCTTGTGGGAAATAAAAGAAAGTATGCATGGGGACTGGGGGGATGGGGAGAGGAGGAAGGTGAGGTAAGGGGCAGAGTGGTGAAGATAGAGAGAGAGGACTTTTCCAGAAAGAGGAAGCACAGGTTATTGAGGCTAGAAGACAAAATCCATATTTGTGATCAAATGAATCTTCTAGATCTCCATATTTTGGTTTTTTATTTACGTGCCTGGCAGATGTGATGTTGTGAAACGAATGGGTTTTGCAGCCCAGGTAACAGAATCTTCTTAGAAAAACAGTTACCTGTACCTAAAATAACTCAGCCAGAGGCTAGTTAATGCCAGATCAAAGTTACTAGTTAAACCACAGCGTCTCTAATACTAATCAGAGTAGCTATAATTATTCACGAAATCATGGTGTCAATCTTATTTCATATACATGACTATTTCTGTGATCTATTTTTCCTCAAAGAAACTCCAGCATTTTCTAGACTACAACTGCTTTAAAAAGACGGAAAAGTTTCTCAGCCAACAATATGATTTATTCACTCTGTCTTTGTCCATTCCATCCCTGTACCCCAGCTACTCACCAGATGTGGGCATCTTGGATTCACTCCTCATTTTGTTGAGCTAAAAAATCAGAATGCCAACAGTGAGATGAGGGAGCACACAGAGCAGCATGGTGAACAGGCTTCCAAGCCGTGATGGTGAAAGAGATGTACTTCTAGAGGCACCGCAGATATTTTTTTTCCCTCACTAACTTGGGCAGGGATGAATTCACTTCTCCAGCCTTGATTCCTGGCATGAACAACCCCAAATTAACATTTTTAGAGCCCTTTTTCTGGGTGAATGTTTGGTGTGTAGAACTTTTCCTCCAAGGATAATTTTAGCCCTGAAAATGCATCAAATTATTTCAAATCCTGGCAAATTTCAAAATATGAGTGGGTGACTTAGGAAGGATCTATTCTCAAGAAATAACAATGGTGTCAGAACAATCCAAGAGACTTGGAAAAGAATTTATACACACACACACACACTCACACACGACTTCACTTCCCAGAAGTTGAAATTGATTTAACACATTGAGATTATGTTACTTGAGTGTTTCTTCTAAATGCTAAGGAATAGATTGACTTTGACAGTAGAGACAAACATTTCTAACCCACAGAGAAGAGGGCAGAGAGGTTGGGGTTCACAAGTATTACAGCAGAATTACCATTGCAAATGCAACCCCTTCCCCAGCATACCACCCCCCCTGTCTTTCCTGGGGCTTTTCTTCATGGAACACCAAAAATCAAAGCAATTAAGGTAGAGTTTCAGGGTATGTACTACTCATCCTGTGTGGTTTCAGAATATATACTTTGCAAGGTCAAAATGAAACACCCCAAATGAATAAGTAACCACGCATTTGCACATATAATTATTCATATTTGCTTGCAGTCCTTATTCTTTTTAATTTCTCCTCCTACCTCCCAAGTTTCAAGAAAGAAATACAAGACATATTTTTCTAGGTACAGTATCCTCCCAGGTGGGCTGCCATTGTCTTTGGTAGCAGGCAAATAGGCTTGAAGTGATTGCTCTATTTCTGCATATTTCTATAGAGTCCAAACCAATAAAAGAGCTCCAGGTAATGGTTCCATGCACTTACATGAGGAAAGTTAAGTTCCTGATAAATACCAGTCTCACTTGGAGAAATTTTTCTTTCTAAAAGACAGGAGAAAGTTGATTATCTTGTAAAATTTGAGAATCCCTATTTCTTTTCTTTGGCCTTGATTCTTGAGTCTATGTAACAATAAAATAAAAACAACCCATTCCCCCACAGCAGACAGATGGTGGTTGCTAACAGGTGCACACATTCTGTGCACATGTATGTGTGTGTAAAACATAGGCTATGTTACTCCATTGGGAGGGCCACAGTGAGGTCGTCACCAGGCTAGGGGTGTGAATTTCCAAGGCATTTATGTCTGGGCACTTCGCTAGGGTGCTGCGGAGCATCACCAGATGTTCATCGCTGCATAGCGCCTACGGCTTTGCTGTAGGATCAAAAAGAAGCAAACGGAAGTATACCAGAAGTAGGAAGAGCAGCCTCTTTCTCCTCCAGTCCCTTCAATGTCTTGTGCGGGTGATGTATAACACTGCGCTTACCATAATGGAAAAGATGCTTAGACGGTCCACCTAAAAGATCACCAAGTTATGCAAGGCAGAGGTCCTTGGGGGGCCTCCAAGAAATCCACACACAGGAACCAGGCTTCAGTTTTCTGTCCTGGGCATCCTTGGTTAAAACAGCACCAGCGAAGTAGAGAGCCTGCCACCTTTGGTTTTTGCCTCCTCCTGCCCTGACCTTGGAAGATCCAGAAGCAGGAGAGGAGTGGAAGAGCAAGAAGGAATAAAAAAGGTGGATGCCAGCAGGTCCCTGAGCCACGAGTCAAGCTGAGTTGGTGGGGAGGGGAGAAAGTGGGGGCAAGGGAGAAACTTTTAGGTTTGTGTTTGGATTGGACTGGATTTTTTAGGATTTGGAAGTGAGATTTGATCTTATAACCCAGGTTTCTCTAGAAACCTGTTGGTCAAGGACCGGGAAGGGAGAGCTGATATAACCTGGCAGAAGGCAAGAAGTGGAGGAGAACCATGTCCTGTTTAGCCCTCATCAAGTTGAGGTGGTTAACAAAGAGTACAAAACGCCTGTGGACTAGGATTATTGTCTGATGGTGCCGCAGTTCAGAGACATTAAATGACCTGCCTGCAGAGGCCAGGTTTAGGCAACAGGCTGGAGCCATTGAAACTTGATCGAGGCTAAAGGGCCCACAGTGACTACCACAGATCTGAATGCAAACAGGCTCATGCAGGACCCACCTCAAAATAGCCATAGGCCCTATCCAGTTACAACCAGGCACAGTTCCTAAGATTGCCAAAAAGGGAAAATTCCATACATTTCCCATACTCCCTCACTCTGCTGCCCTGTAACTGTGGCCCCTCACCACACCCTCCTTGAAGAGGGTCCCTCCTTCGCTGTCCTGCCCACTCCTCCCTTGGGAGGTATTCAATAAACTTCTCTTTTGTTCTGCCTTGGGTGAATCCTTCCCCTGCCTGTGCCATGCGCCCTTTCTTTCCTTCCTTCCTTCTGATTTTATTTATTTGTCAGAGAGAGAGAGAGCACAAGCAGGCAGAGAGGCAGGCAGAGGGAGGGGGAGAAGCAGACTCTCCAGGAGCAGAGAGCCCAATGCGGGGCTCTATCCCAGGACCCTGGGATGATGACCCCAGCCCAAGGAAGATGCTTAACTGACTAAGCCACCCAGGTGCCCCCCAAAGTGGTAGAATTTCAAAGAAAAGACAGGGGAGGGCACTGCAGGCAGACAGGAAGGGGAAGTCTTGGGATGCTGGACCAGTAGTGGCTGGAGTGCTGAGGGGAATGTGTACTGGGAAGAGGGGTAGAGATTTGCGAAGGGGAGTCTGATCCAACTATTCCAGTAGGACTCTGAGCCATCAAGTGAGGTGATGGAAGTCCTGAAGATCGCTTGGGTGGGGGTGTGGAAAGACATCACAGAAATCAGACCGTCTTCGCAGCCAGGATGTGAGAGAACGAGGATTAGAACGACGATGATGGCAATAGAAATTGGCAGGGTATGATGACAAATTTGATAGAGGGAATCAAGGAGAGGCTAAATAACAGGTTACCAAAGGAGAGAAGCTGTGTGAGGCTGGCCCTCCTCTTTTGAAGTAAATAGCTTGGAGGGCAGCCTGTCAGTCACGGCCGCTATTAGGAGCCCCGGAGTGCCTGGGAAGGAAGATTGGCCTAATCTAGCGGAGCTTTTCTTCTGTTCTTTTCCTTGAGTGGTGATGCAGTGTGAATGCTAATGCGTGCGGTTCAGGCAACTCACAGGGGGTACCGCCCAGGAAAGCCAGCTGGCTGCCAACACCCAGCACAGGGTGACATTGGCTCTAATGAATTGAGCGCGGCCGTGGGTCTGGTTGAACCCTGCTGGCAGAGGAGTTTTCCCCTCCTCTTCCCCTGGGCCTGGGGCGCGGCCCCCCCCTCCCCCGGGCTCTGGGGTCAGGCGTGCGTGCACCCCGCAAAGACAACAGAAAGGGGGCTTTTGTTGCGCCAGAACTTCCGCCGCCAGCGGGGACTGGAAGGTCCGCAGCTCCGTCGTAGGGGAAAGCAAAGAACAAAAAGCGGAGGGAACGGAATGATTGACAGCACAGACCAAAAGCCGAGGAGGGGAAGAGAGATCAGAGAGCCAGGAACCGAGGGATTTCAAAGACTAGAGGCGGTCGGGAGCTGGAAGCCCTCGGGAAAGGGCGGGGGGCTCCCCCGGGGCCCTGGGAGCGGAGTGACGGTGTGGGTGGCCCTGGAGTGGCGAACAAAGGCTGGGTGGGGGCGGCGCTCCGAGCGCGGCCGTCGCTGCTGGGAGCAGAGCAGATGGCTCCCGCGGGAAGTGAGTGCGCAGAGCCTCCTTCCGGACGTGTCAGGTGTGGGACCGCGGAGGGCTCAGCTTCCGGACCGGCAGACAGTGGTTTCCTGTCCGCACCGTGAGGGAAGCTCTGCTTTTCAGGAGGGACCCGTAGTAAGCAGCACCACGGAAAGGAAAATAGAAGCAAATGCCAGTGTATTGATTTATAACGAGAAAGACGGCTGTGGACAGAGCAGAATGTTCACGTCCGCAGATCCGTAGGTGATCTCCCTGCAGGCACGCAGTTAGGGAGGTCGAATTATGGCCAAAAGGTTAGAGATGAGCCCACACCCCGAACAAGGGTAGTTTGCTACCTCATTAACGACCTGGAAGCAGCTGGAGTGACTAGCCCCTCCGCAGCGCTTAGATGGCCCTAGAAACTTTAGAAGCTTTATAGTCCCCCCTGTTGTCAGCAAGACCACTGTTTCTAGGTCTGGTCTGAAAACACCTGCCTCCAAATTCACTGGGGAACTTAAATATTCAGAGGGCCTACCAGCTCCTGATTAGATCTTAGATCGGTGGTGGTGGTGGTGGTGGTTTAGAAGCCTGAATTGGAGAATGGCAGGGAGGCCCTGACAAGGAGGGCTTTATGCATGGAGACTGGGGAGGGGTCAGGTACTTTGGGGCAGGTGGGGAGGATAAGAGGTAGGTAGGGCTATGCTGGAAAATGGTAACTTTGCCTGGTAGACAGGTGTGAACTTGTGAGTCCCTCTCTCTTCCCTACTGTCCCCAAGAAGGCAGGTGCTGACAGAACAGTTCCCTTCCAGAATTATTTTGATGTTCTGTTTCACTGAGCTACTCTCAATTGGATTCCACTGGACTTCTCCATGAACTTCGACCTCCCCTATCAAGCCCAGTTTTTGGCTTAGTTTTCCCTTTCAACTTGGTTTCTCCCTTTGTGTTCAGTGAGGATTTCTGCCTCTGGCCTGTCTTCAAGTCACTATACTCAGGTTTTGACCCCTCAACCAATTCTCTGGGCAGATCACTAGCAATGAGGGGAGTTGTGGAGGAAGTCAGGTGCAGGCTGGACCTCGTTCTCTGTCACCTCTTTTTATGTCTCCTCTGAAGCTGCCTTCCCAATGGAGAAGAGTTGGAGGGTGATTCTTAAGTCAAGGGAAGAGGCCCAGTAGTGCTTGCTTGCTAGATTCTTCACAAAGACGTCCGTGGTCTTGTCACAGTGTTCATGGTGAGCCTAGAGGACAATAGGACCTAAACCAGCCTGTGAAAGTCAGGATGGTCTCACAGAGGAACTTTCTCTCCACAGTGGAATAAGAGCAGAGCCCCTGGTGTATTTGTGCAGGTTATGTGACAGCCCGTGGTAGGAGCTTGGTGGTTAGAGGGGAGAAGGATGCAGTGTGCCTGAAACAGAGAGCAGTGCAGGGAACTACAAGGACATAGGTCTATCTAGAGCAAGGGGACCAGGGAGGCATGTGGCAGGCTGAAATGCAGGCAGGGGCCACATTCTGATGGTCTTTGTGTTCTGCCAATCCAAAAGGTTTAAACTTTATCTTGCAGTCAGTGCTCTCCAAACTGGGTTCTCTCCACTCACTGAGGAGGTACAAAGTGAGCTACTGAAAGGTGAAAAGAAAATCTAGACCTTCTTATGTTCATTAAAAAATTAACTTTATTGAGGTATCTTGTATTATATTTTTAGTGTAAAAATTTAAAAATAAATGTTTTTAAGCTATAATGTATGGAATGATCATGGCCCCTTCACTTGGTCCATCTATCCAGTGTGTCACATATGGGACATGAAGTGTCAGGAGGACAGAGTGAGATGGGAGTTCTCTAGTTCAAAGTCTATCACTTGGGCCTTCAGTTTTTGTTTCCTTTTAGCATGTATCACATATTTCGATTTAGCCAGGCAATCCTGGTTAAATTGACTGATAGATTATATTACATTTTGACTAAACTGACTTTACAAAATGGACAGATGCATGGCTTAAGATAGTCTTACAAAGAAACTATATAGAAAGCCAAGAAGCTTTCTGCAAAATGGACTGGAATTCAGAGCAAATGGCTTTCAACCGAATTAAAGATGATCAGTCTAACTCACGGCAATAAATGGAAATTAAAACTATACAGGGATATAATTTGTCACCTATCAGATTTGCAAATATCCAAGTTTGACTCAATACCCAACTGGTGAGACTGTAGGGAAACCAGCACGATTACATTGCAGGAAGAGGGTGGGGGAGATGCAAAATGGTACCACTCCTAATGAGAGGACTTGATACTATTTAGCAAAATCAAATAAGCCTGAAATATCTTGTGAAGCCAAGTAGCAAGGAAGCCAGGAGAATACTGGGGTCATGTCAAAAGACCACACGAGTTAAACTGTATAAGCTCCCATTGGTGAAAGATGAGAGAATCAAGCTTTACCAAGAATAATAAGTGTAATGAATTGATATACATCAAATATGTTTAAATCCATGAGTTCATAATGATACAAAAAACTTTGGTTACCTTTGGAGGATGATAGGGAAGCAATTATTATTTTAAAAACTAGTGAAAAAGGGAAAGGATTAGCATGTATTCTTTCCCTATATAATTTCTATTCCTTGTGAAAAGAAATGGTTGAAGTTAAGAAATATTAACTTTATAGAAGTATTCAATTTACTAAGTGAAGAAGACATGGCAGAATTAAAATATAACCATGAAGAGAAGATTGCTTATATACACATATTCCAGCTAATAAATGAAGAATGATAAAATTAGACTAATATCGTATCCCTAATGAATTAATGGATTTATGCAGTTATTATCCAGGGCAGCTAGCATCCCCAAATGTGCTTCTTGGTAGAATCACACACCAGCCATGAAGTAGTTTAGCTGAATAAATTGAAACTGAATTGGATTAAATCTCTCTATATAATTACCAATTTGTGGGAAATACAGGGAACTGAGGAGTTTGTTAAATGACACCTGACACTCTACAGGACAAATGACTGTTTCTTTAACATATGAATTGAGGAAGTGGGTAAAGAAGATGAAGAAGAGATTATAAATGAAAAGAAACTTCAGAGACATATAATCAGTCACAATGTATGAGTTTTATTTGGATGCTGATTCAAATAAACACACAAAAAACAAGAAGTTTGAAATAATCAGGAAAGTTTGAGTCTGGATTATATATTCATGATATTAAAGAGTTATTGTTATGTTTTTAGGTATGGCAATGAAACTATGGTTTACTTTTTAGATACATACCCTGAAATAATTATAGATAAAATTATATGATACCTGGGATTAATTTCCAAGTAATCCAGTGTTAAGAGAATGTTGTAAGTGGGTGGGAATATAGGTGAAGCAAGGTTGGTTGTGAGTTGATAATTGCGGAAGCTGAGTGAAGGGCAGGTCAAGATTCATTATCGCACCCTCTCTGCCTTTTTGTATGATTGAATTTTTCTATCATAAGAATGAAATAGATTTTTACAGATAAGACAGATTGAAGAGAATACAAATACTGCAAACACCAACAGCAAAATAGCAGAGCTGACGTATTCCTCCTAGTATGAGCCTTTTATCAACCATCTAATGAGATAAAACAATGATAACCTAATTGCAGTTGACAAGAAGCTGGGAAAAAATCTTCTAAGTTGAAATATGTTTCGAGATGAATCCTGATCTAACTGCATATTGTGTCTTAGCATATTAACCACTACTCAAAGTTCAAAGCCACTGTTTCACATAATTCACCTGTTTTTTAAAATCATTTGACTAAAAAACAGCCAGAAAATATGAAAGAGTGGCTTTTAGGCGTGGATGACAGGCAGTGCAGAACAGTGATTCCTGAAAGAAGGGAAATGAAGTGAGCCCTACAATTACCCCCCTTTTATTACTCACAGAGAGTTTCCAGGCCAAAGTGCAGGGAAGGCAATCCCAAACTGATGCTGGCAGGTCCCTGTGTTCAAGGACACAGGGCTGGGAATTTAGAGAAGCCAAAGTGGCTAGAATCCACCAGGCAAAGTACCAGAGAGGAGAAGCAATCGCAGAGACAGGTGTCCTCTGACTCTCAGCTGAAAAACTGATTGGCATGTATGTATGGAGAAACAATACCAGGCCACCAGAAAGGAGTAAGGAAAACAATTTCTGGACATCCCAAAGAACTTGGAATACTTCATTTTCCCAATAGCCAGAATGGAGAAATGTCTTATTTTTTATTTATTCATTTATATGAGGCATCACATAGAGAGTCAGAAGGGTACTTTTTCAGTAGTGGAGCCCAAAAAGCCTAGATGATGGTTTCTCAGTCTTGGCACTATTGATATTTTTGGGCCAAATGATTGTTTAGTATGGAGGGCTATCCTGGTATCATATCATATAGGATATTCAGCAGTATCCCTGCCCTCTACCTGCTAGATACCAGTAACACATCTACTTCTCTAGTCGTGACAACTGAAAAGTGTCTCTACGCATTGCCAATATGCCCTTCCCTTAGGATCAGAATCATCCCTGGTTGAGATCAGTTGCTGAGATGAAAAGTGGCTCTGGTTCTGCCTAACAGAGCTTCACAGCAAGCTGCAAAAGGATTAAATTGTTTCTAAGGAACTCTGCTGCTTTCTAGAGGAAAGTTTAGGAATATTGAAAACACAAGCAATCTAGCATGCCAAAATATAAATTTCACCATGTCTGGCATCCAATAAAAAAATTCCAGACATGTAAAGAAGCAGAAAAGATAAACCACAATGAGGAGGAAAACAATCAATTAGAAACAGATTCAGAAATAGCACAGAAGATAGAATTAAGAGAGAAGAATGTTAAAGGAGCTATGATTAATATATTCCATATGTTCAACCATGAACATGATAACAAGAACAGTTTTAGGAGAGATTGAGATGATAAAAAAAAGACCCATACTGAACTTCTGAAGATGGAGAATACAATGTCTAAGATGAAAAATACACTAAATGAGATTAATAGTGGATTGGATACTTCAGAAGAAAAAGTTAATAAACTTGAAAACAGTATGGAAATTATTCCATTAAAACACTAAAGAATATCAGAGAGTTTTGGAGCAATGGTAAGCGGCTTAATATGCCTATAATTGGAGTTTCAAAAGGAGTGAAAGGGCTGGGGGTAAAAAATTTTGAAGAAATAATGTTTGAAAAACTTTCAAATCTGGCAAAGACTATATATCTACAGATTCAAGAGTCTCAATGAACTACAAGCGGATGAAAAATGAATACTACACCAAGGCACAGTCTAATCAAACTGATGAAAGTAGGTGATAAAGGGAAAAATATTTTAAAGGAACTAGAGTAAAAACACAAATTTAATACAGAGGAACAAAGATAAGAACGACAACAGACTTCTTGTTGGAAACAATGTGAATAAGAAAACAACCCCAAAAAACCCCAAAACCAAAAAAGAAAAAAAAAAAGGCAACAACAACAAAAAACCACACCAAATAAAGCAAACAAAAACAAAAACAAAAACAAAACATAGTGGAGCAACATCTTTTAATTATTGAAAGAAAAACACCTCTGTGGATTTAGAATTCTATACCCAGCAAAGATAACTTTTAAAAATGAAAGCAACACAAAGATTTTTTTCCAGGCATATGAAAGCTGAAGAAATTCACTGGCAGCACACCAGTACTACAAAAAATCTCAAAGGTAGCCCTTGGTGTAGAAGGAAATGGAGCCAAATAGAAATCTGGATCTACACAAAGGAATGAAGAACATCTGAAATGGGAAATACGTTGACTAATACAGAAGATGCATTTTTGCCTATTTAAAAATCTCTATTAAAAATGCCAGGATATTTTAGAGAGAACAGTTTTTTTCTGAAATCAATAAATAACATTTTTAAAAAATATTTTATTTATTTATTTGACAGATAGAGATCACAAGTAGGCAGAGAGGCAGAAAGGGAAACAGGCTCCCTGCTGAGTGCAGAGCCCGATGCGGGGCTCGATCCCAGGACCCTGAGATCATGACCTGAGCCGAAGGCAGAGGCTTTAACCCACTGAGCCACCCAGACACCCCAATAAATAACATTTTATTTCACCTTTATCTTATCCTTTGAACATCTCTGGGTTTATATTAGTGTAGCAGGCATGTATAATCTTTATCACTCAAATGAAAAGATAGTACTATTTCACTAATATATATGATACATAAGAGTTGCATGCTCATTTTTTTTCAGGTAAGGATGAATGATTAAAATCTTGGAGATGATTGCTGTGAC